GCGATGAGGAGCACGATGAGGAGGAGGAAGAGGACCAGTGAATACCCAAGACCAGTGAATACCCAGTGAATGCACCCTCCCCGCAAGTTCCCTTTCAATGACTCTTGGAGGGTTTATCTTCATTTCGGGAAGAGCACCGTTGGAAAACAACCGTCTGAAAATCTTCGGCCGTGTCAAAGCACTGTTGCTGGGATCTCGGCGCCGCGAACGAACGTTACTGTTGCGACCTGGCGATCCAACATCGTCCCAGGGTACAACTTCTGGGACGTCAGTGCCGCGAATCACTGTGACTGTCGCGCCTTGACCATCACAAATCGTGCCAAAACGAGATGCGTTGAACGTCGACCATTGGAATCCTTGACACAGCCTTATATTATTGGGACGAATGTGCGCGGCGCTGAGGCGAGAGCCACATCTTGAAAACGACGTGCCCTCCACCCGTGATATTGCTGCAAACTGCTAATACGAACGTGCGCGGCGTTCAGGCGAGAACCACATTTTGAAAACGGCCCGCCCTCTTTCTGTGAAACTCTTGCAAACTTTGAAGAAGAATATGCGCGGCACTAGGGCGAGAGCTACATGCTGAAAACGGCCCGCCCTCCATCGCGAAACTCGTGCAAACGTTCAAGACGAATGCGTGCGGTGCTAAGGCCTCTCCATCCGTGAAGCTCTTGCAAACTTCATGCTTCAGGATCACAAGTGGTGAGGAACTCTGAGGCGAACCGCCTGGCCCGCCCCACCGACCCGTGCCAGAGTGCGACAGGGAGGATCTATTCATAAGGGAGAGGCATGAAGGAGGAGCAGGAGGAGGAGGAGCAGGAGGAGGAGGAGGAGGAGGAGGAGGAAGAGACCGGCGGAGCGTGAGCTGCGATCCCCGTCCTTTCTGATCCGTGCCCCTACGCGGCTGAACCTGGTCCGAGCGGCGGCGCTGCCTGGGGCGAGCCTGGAAGGGCCCCCCCCGCGTCGGGCAGGCGGCCTGTGCATGGTGTAGCGCGCGCCTCGCCCGCGTTCGGCGCGAGGCCCGCCGCCCTGCAGCCCGCAGGCCGCGCCTGGGCCTGCGGGTAAGCTTCCTAGACAGGCGTGTTTCGCTGCAGCTCCTCGGCGGCAGGTTTTTGTGGCCGCCTTCGGCCCTCACCGCCTCGGGATGCACTCGGAGGTGGATAGACCTTCTACCCTGACACGTCGATCAGTGAATCGGCCGTTTTCGGTTCGCGCGAGGGCGTCGCGGCCGTCATTCTTGCGGGTCCAGGTCCGTCGGCTTCGGTCCCAGGCCGTTTTCACTACGGGGAGGTTTACTGAAGGGAGATTTGTCCACCGCCGATGCATGCCAGCGGCTGCGCCGAGGGCCACCGGATCGTCCCGAACGGCGGCCGGAGGCCCGAGGTGAGGCCCGAAAGCCAGGCATGCTCACGTCGTGGAGAGGCTCACGGCGGAACGTCCCGGGCGGTGTGTTCGGCCCTCGGCGGCCCTCGCGGGGCCGCGGCACCGTCCATTGAAACGGCTCGGGACGCAAAGCCAGCCCACGAAGGGTCTGGGCTTCGGGGGTGGAAATCTGAACCTCGGGTGTCTGGGTGGGGCGGCGAAGCATCGTGGGTCAAACAACCAGGGACGATCTTGCTGGACAGGTTTGGATCTCTGGGCGCCTTGACCTGACAGGGGAAGAGTATAGCATCGCCGGAGGTTGATAGACCTCCTACCCAGACACGTAGATTGGCGAATTGGCCGTTCTCGGTTCGCGCGAGGGCGTCGCGGCCGTCATTTTTGCGGGTCCAGGCCCGTCGATTTTGGTCCCAGGCCCTTTTCACTAAAGGGTGGTTTACCAAAGGGAGGTGTGTCCACCGCCGAAGCATCGTGAATCAATTAACCAGAGAAGATCTTGCTGGGCAACTTGGAATCTCTGGGCGCCTTCTACCTGAAAAGGGGAAGAGCAGCATCGGCGATGCGCCGCCCCTTGTGTGCCGCCCGCGTGCGACTCTTTTTTTCCCAACCATCCTGTGGTGTTGGGTCCTCGTTTTGAAGAAACGGTCCCCGCGTTCTCCCCTCCTCCTCCTCCTCTGCCCCCTCCTCCCCCTCCTCCCTCCTTTCTCCTCCCACCATCATCATCGTCATCATCCTCCATTTCGGCACACCCCTCACACGTTTCGTGGCCCCATAGGGAGCCCCACCGAAGGCCGTCGGGGAGTCCCGGGGAAGCTCCTTGCGGCGGCCACGCCCAGCGTCACGAGTACTCAGAGGCAGTCGTTGTCAAACTATTGACATTCATATACAATTGCACCACGCTCCGTCATATTCGCATTCATGCACGTAGACTCGCTCGCACGCATATTCATTCACAGTCAGACGCACGCGCGCAGATTCACCCGCGCTCAGTTTCCCTACGTACTCAGATCAATCGTTTTCGTTCGCTTTGTGTACCACGCCACTCATGTCGGCACACCCCTAGCACAGTTCGTTGCCTCATAGGGATCGCCACCGAAAAGGTGAATCACTATTGCGGTATTCGCACCTGCATATGGTTGGGTCCCTCGCCAGGCTAATTTCCCAACCATCCTGTGGTGTTGCGTCCTCGTTTTGAAGAAACGCTCCCCGCGTTCTCCCCTCCTCCTCCTCCTCTGCCCCCTCCTCCCCCTCCTCCCTCCTCCCTCCTCCCACCATCATCATCGTCATCATCTTCAATTTCGGCACACCCCTCACACGTTTCGTGGCCCGATAGGGAGCCCCACCGAAGGCCCCAGTGCTGCCGCCCGCATGCGTCACGCACACCCAATTCGGCACACCCCTCACACGTTTCGTGGCCCCATGGGGAGCCCCACCGAAGGCCCCAGAGCGGTTGCCCGCATGCGTCACGCACACCCAACTCGGCACACCCCTCACACGCTTCGTGGCCCCATAGGGAGCCCCACAAAAGGCCCCAGAGCTGCCGCCCGCATGCGTCCCGCACACCCATTTCGGCATACTCCTCACACGCTTCGTGGCCCCATAGGGAGCCCCACCGAAGGCCCCAGTGCTGCCGCCCGCATGCGTCCCGCACGCCCAATTCGGCACACCCCTCACACGTTTCGTGGCCCCATAGGGAGCCCCACCGAAGGCCCCAGTGCTGCCGCCCGCATGCGTCACGCACACCCAATTCGGCACACCCCTCACACGTTTCGTGGCCTCATAAGGGAGCCCCACCGAAGGCCCCAGTGCTGCCGCCCGCATGCGTCACGCACACCCAACTCGGCACACCCCTCACACGCTTCGTGGCCCCATAGGGAGCCCCACAAAAGGCCCCAGTGCTGCCGCCCGCATGCGTCCCGCACGCCCATTTCGGCACACACCTCACACTTTTCGTGGCCCCATAGGGAGCCCCACAGAAGGCCCCAGTGCTGCCGCCCGCACACGTCCCGCACACCCAATTCGGCACACCCCTCACACGCTTCGTGCCCCATAGGGAGCGGCCCCAGTATGCGGACACCCCTCACACGCCGCCCCGGGCCCCAGTGCTGCCGCCCGCATGCGTCCCACACACCCAATTCGGCACACCCCTCACACGTTTCGTGGCCCCATAGGAAGCTCCACCGAAGGCCCCAGTGCTGCCGCCCGCATGCGTCCCGCACACCCAATTCGGCACACCCCTCACACGTTTCGTGGCCCCACAGGGAGCTCCACCGAAGGCCCCAGTGGCGGCGCTCACATGCGCATGCGTCCCGCACACCCATTTCGGCACATCCCTGACAGGTTTCGTGGCCCCATCATCCACCGGAGGCCCCAGTGGCGGCGCTCACATGCGTCACCCACACCCACCCAATTCGGCACACCCCTCACACGTTTCGTGGCCCCATAGGGAGCTCCACCGAAGGCCCCAGCGGCCGCGCTCACATGCGTCCCCGCCACCCATCCCGGCACGCCCCTCACAACAACAGGTTTCGTGGCCCCATAGGGAGCTCCACCGAAGGCCCCAGTGGCACCGCCCGCATGCGTCACCACCCGCACCCAATTCGGCACACCCCTCACACGTTTCGTGGCCCCATAGGGAGCTGCACCGAAGGCCCCAGTGGCGGCGCTCACATGCGTCCCCGCCACACATCCCAGTACACCCCTCACGCGCTTCGTGGCCCCATAGGGAGCTCCACCGAAGGCCCCAGTAGCGGCGCTTACATGCGTCTCCGCCACCCATCCCGGCCCCCCCCCCCCCGCAGCAGCATCATGTTTCGGGGACCCATAGGGAGCTCCACTGGAGGCCCCAGTGGCGGCCCTCACATGCGCTTCCGCCACCCATGTCGGCACGCCCCGCGCGTGTTTCATGTCCCCATAAGGAGCTTCGCCGAATGCCCCAGTGGCACCCATCTCGGCACACCCCTCACAGGTTCCGTAGTCCTATGGGGAGTTCCACTGAAGATGAAACCCGCAGCTGCGGTACTGACAACTGCATATGGTTGGGTTTTTCGCCAGGCTAATTGTTCCGCGGCCTTCGCCGTCGCCGTCGCTCGAGGGAGAAACAGTGCACGAGCTCAAGCTTTTGGAGGCCCGCGGGGATTCACTGCTTCGGCGCTGGGCCCCCTCCTTTGGGGGGCCACGTGCGAAAACGCTACCCCCTACCCCCCACGAGTTCTGAAGGGGGAGGGGGAGGGGTTCACTTCGCTCCCCCTCAAAACGCGTGGGGGGGCAGGGGGCAGGTTCGCATGTGGCCCCCTACCCCTGGGTCCGCGGAGCGCGCCGGGGGCAGCGCCGGAGGCGCCGCCAACAGGAGCCGCGCCGGCCTCTGGGAGCGTTTCTGTGTCTGCCCGTCCTGTATTGAACCAGGCCGCCGTCACGGTCGCCGCCGCCGCTCGATGTCTTCGCTGTCGTCGTCGTCGTCGTCGCCGCCGCCGCCGTCGTCGTCGTCGTCGTCGTCGTCGTCGTCGTCGTCGTCTTCGAGGGATGGCCGCCGACCGCTCGACGTCTTCGCTGTCGTCGTCGTCGTCGTCGCCGCCGCCGTCGTCGTCGTCGTCGTCGTCGTCGTCGCCGTCGTCTTCGAGGGATGGCCGCCGACCGCGGCGAGCTCGCGCTGGCCGAGGACGCCGGCGCGGCGGGCCCCGCGAGGGCGTCCGGCCAGCAGGTGCTGAACACCCCGAGGACGCGCGAGGCGTGCCGAAGGCTGGGCCTCCGCCCTCCCGCCCAGAGGAGGAAATCAAGCAGTGGCGAAGCGTCCTGGCTCGCCTGTAACCCTACCAAACAACGCTCTAAGAACCTTCTGCGGTTTCCACGAAGTGTTCTAAGACCATTTCTGGCGGAGTCTGCTTTGTTTAATCATATCGGGTCTGTGTTCTAAGAAAACTGTTTTTGTGATTCGAACATTTTTGGGTTCTAAGAGCATTTCGTGGTAGGACTATAGGAATGCCGGGACGGTCGGTCCCTCCTAAAGGAAAAGGTATACCGCTACCCTCGCCTCGTTTTCCCCCTTGTTTGGGGCTCCAGGGAGGCCCTCGTCGCCACAGCTGGATTCGCCTTGAAATCCTGGTCGGGACGCACCCCGGGAGAGGTCTGGGGAGTAGCGGTATCGGTGCTTTTGGGTTCCCCACCCGTTCTGCGTTCTCGAAGAAGTGAAACGGCATAAGCATAAGCTTTCAGAGCTCCTCTCGGGCTTCTTAGACCTGCGCTGGAACCCCAGGGAGGGGGGTCACCGCATACACAAGAAATCCGCGCGGACCTCCACAAGAGTGTGTTTCATGCACTTTTATGTTCCGCTAGATTCCAGGTTCGAGGCTTTCGGTCGTTTTCGTCGGTTCTCGGCGGCTTTCTGGCCTCGGGATGCCTGCCAGCAGCTGAGCCTCGCCGAGAGGCGTCTGGGGCTGCCCGGATCGTCCCGAGCGGCCGCCGGAGAGCTGAGTTATGACCCGAAAAAGCTACGCCCTCGTACGCCCTCCTGCAGTCTCTGACTCCTGCGCCCTCCTCTCGGAGGAAGGAGAAGCGACACCAACACCATCAGTGGGCCCACCTCCAGCGAGGAGGTCCACGATGCCCCCCCGAGCTGAAGGCTGGGGATGTCTCGAGCGAGGGGGGGGGCCACACCACCAGGGAGACCCCCTTGCCTCCTCGCATCTCCTGGCCCTGGTGGTGTTGGTGTCGCCTTTCCCTGTGCATATCCTCCCGCTCCCTCTTTTTCCTCCTCACTTTCCTTTCTCCTCCCCCTTCACGCCTCGCATTGGCGGGCTTCGTCAGTTCCTCCGTGTGCGCTCGTGCCCGGGGCCTGTTGCAAAGACGGTCTCTTTCTCCTCGTCGCCCCGCCCGCCTCCAGAGGCTTGGCCTCGTCTTGGAGGACCTGCAATACAGAGAGAAATGCGAGTTCGCCCTGCCTGGCGACATCAAGGAGAAGCAGCAGCTCCGCTTCGAGCACCACGAGAAACGCCGCAAGAAGTGGCTCGGGGATGTCCTGGCGGAGCGCGCCAAAGTGATCGCGCAGGATCGGGTGCTGCTTCGGGGAGGGCTGGGAGCATCAGGAGGAGGGAGGGTAAGGGAGGGAGGTAGGAAGCGGAGGATGATGCTGACAGTTTTGATTACTCTCGTAATGTTGCAGCTGCTGTGAAGAAGACTCTGGTAATGTTCTGATGCGGATGAAGATGGCGGCAACAATAGGTAGCGACGATGGCGATGATGATGGTGATGGCGATGACAATGCTGATGTGTGATGACGTTGAAGACGATGCTGATGCCTACGAGGGTGACCCTGATGATCTCGATCATGGTGATACTGATCATATTGCTGATGATACTGATTATGATGCTGATGGCGACGATGTTGATGATATTGCTGCGGCTAATGTGGCTCAATGATACTGTTGCTGCTGTTGATGTGGATCACGATTATTGTGATGAGCCATGCTGCTGCTGCTGCTGATGGTCTTGATGCTAGTGTTGATGCTGACGCGGATGCTGGTGATGATGATGATGATGATGATGATGATGATGATGATGATGTAGAGGATGCTGCTGATGATGTTGATGGTGATGACGAGGATGATGTTGATGAGTATATATGTTAGCGGCGACTATGATGATGGTGTGCTGATGCTGATACTTTTGATGGTGACGATGATGACCACTACGACGACGATGACGAGGATTACAATGCTGATGCTGCTTATTATGATGTTGTTGATGATGGTGCTGAAGATGCTGAGCCTGCTGCTGCAGTTGATGTTGACGATGCTGATGGTACTGTTGATGATGCTGCTGTAGTTGTTGAGGCTGTTGCTGCTGGTGGTGATGATGGCCACGATAATGATTATGGTGATGATGATGCTGATGACTATGATGCGGATGGCGGCGATGACGATGATACGGGTTATGACGCTGATGATGATAATGATGATGGAACGATGATGCTGATGATGATGCTGCTACTTCTGATGCTGATGATGATGATGATGATGGCGCTGCTGCTGATGGCGTTGCTGATGCTGCTGTTGATGACGATAATGATGGTGCAGCTGCTGCTGCTGCTGATGCGGGTGATCATGATGTAGCTGATGATGTTGAGGGTGATGATTATGAACATGCTGATGCTACTGCTGATGCTGATGATTTTGATGATGCTGAGGATGCTGCTGCTGCTGATGATGACGATGATGATGCTGATGATGATGATGATGATGAGGATGATGAGGATGATCTGAGAATGAAGATGGAGATGATAACGAGGATCGGGATGAGGATGGGGAGGATAATGATTGTGATTATGATGTTGCTGATGACGACGATGGTAACGCTGACGAGAAGGATGACGAGGATTTTAATGAGGAGGAGGAGGATGAAGATGAGAAGGAGGAGGATAAAGAGGAAGAGGGCAGAGAGAAGGAGGATAAGGAGAAGGAGGAGGATGAGGAGGAGAAGGAGGAGGAGGAGGAGGGAAGGCCGATTCTCCTCCTCCCCCTCTCTGCTCTCCCTTCTCCCCCCCTCTTCCTTTTACGCGCCCCCTTTTCCTTCTCCCTCTCGCCCTCCCCTCCGCCTGGCTCAACCCGCCCTCTTGGCCCACCCCTCGCCTGTCCCATCCCCCTCCCTCGCCCTCTTTCGCCCCGAGCTTGGGCTCCCCCCCACGAGCTCGGTCCGCCCACTTCCCCGCGAGCCAAAACCCGCGCAGGACGCCCAGAAGGGGAACGCGCCCGGGGTGCAGAGCGGCCAGTTCCTGTGCATGCTGGAGTCCCTCTTCGATAAGGAGCCAGGGAGAACAGCAACTACAGGGACACTGTGGAGCAGGAGGAGGAGGAGGAGGAGGGATGAGGAGGCGGGAAAGCGAAGCAGGAGGAGGAGGAAGAGGAGGAGGAGCCGGACAATGGAAGCATGATGGGCCGGAGGAGGAAATTGAGGAGGATGAGGCTGAGAAAGAGGACAACAAGGACGCCGTTGTTCGTGCTCCCAAAATTATGACAAGATGAGTGGGCCAGGGGAAACTGCGACGATGAGCGGTGATGCGTTTGAGAGCGTTTGAGTGCGTATGTGAGTATGTATGTGTGCGTGTGTGAAGAGTGCCTCTGCTCCCCCTCCTGCTCGCCCCTTCCTCCACCTTCTCGCTCTCCAGGGCTGTTCACGGCTTGATCCGATTCGACCCGATCCGCAAACCTCGACTATGATCTCCATCCGATCCGATCGGACGTGACTTTGCTCCCCGTCCGGCCTGCAGAAGCCGAGCCCGACCCGCGATCTCAGAGAATTCGACCGGGACCCGACTCCGCGCCGACGTACAGGCGCGATCTGACCTGCTTCCGTCCTGAGTCGTGTTTTTTCGCAGCGTGGCGCCCTAGAGGTTTGGATTACTACCCGGGGATCGTTTCTTTGTTCGGTGGCGAGCTTAGGAGGGACGTGAGAGGGGGCCAGCCTTCTCAGAAGGCGGCAAGGCTTCTGAAAAGCCCTCTGGCCTTCTGAAAAGTTGTCTGTTTCTTCGGGGAAGCTTAGAACATCTTTCAGAAGGCCGGAGGCCATTCTAGCCTTCTGAGAAGGCCCGCCCCCTCTGACTTCGTCCTTGGGCTCGCCGCCGATTTGTCCCGAGCCGTTTTTTGACGGTCCCTTGGCCCAGCGAGGACCCCCAAATTGCCAAAAGCTTCCCGTCGAGTTCCTTTCACGACGCGAGGATGTCTCGGTTCCTTGATGCTTCTCGTCTATCTCTCCTCCTCTTCGAGCCCCCCTCGAGGAGGCCAAGCGCCTGGAGGCGGATCTGAAGGGGCAGCTGCGTCAGCACAGCTCGCTGGTCAAGGACGCGGCAGCTGGGCAGGGGGGGAGGAGGTCGGGGTCCAAAGCGCTCCTGTGGCTATTCCTGGGCGTTTTTGCAGAAGACTGCAACCCAGCAGCTGTCCATGCAGCTGTGGGCACTCGCGCGGTTTGAATGCCACGGCGCTCCTGTAGCATACGTCATAGCTCTGACACGCATGTCTTCGACCGCGTAGTCATTCACCGCGGAAGCAATCGCCCTTGAAGACGGCTCACCATTTGCGTGTGACCTTCTGTCGCTGTCCTAGAGTCCTCGTTCTATGCGACATTGCTAGTTTCACAGAGGTTTGAAGAGTGGAGACATTCAATTACAATCGACCGAGGTAGAGCTGCCAGTCTTCCGGGACTTCAAGCAGTGCCGCAGGAAAACATGACAGGCTGCAAGACAAAGCAAGCCATCGCATCGGAGCTTCAATAATACCTCAAGAAATCCTCAAGCCTTGCGCACTGAGAAGAAAACCTTCCCAGAGTTTCCGCTAGGCCCTCGTGGGCCTCGTGTTGGTGTTCCCCTCCGGCCTCCTGTGGATATCCTCCGAAGTCTTACGGCTTTGCGCGTGCTGCTGAATGTTTGTTCCGGGCCTCCGAACGCCAGAAAACTTATCCGCTCTCTCCAGAGATCTTGGGCCCTCGATGTGCCACGTGTCCACAAGACCGTGACAGTGGTAAGCGGAGCGTCATGTGCGAGGAATTAGTAGAGGCGTTGAGAGTTTGTGGTGCCGTGGATGGCGAACAGCAGAGGGGGCAGCGCAGCGCGGCAGGAGGAACATAATAAGAAGGAGGAGGGCACGCAAACGGGGAGGAACACTTCCACTCCCACGACACACGGTGCTCAGGAGGAGTCGGCATCTTGGGACTGACAGTCCTGGGACGATTGGGACTGTTGTGGATCTCGGGGTTAGCAGCCACAGCACTGGAGTCGGGAGCACTGGCCACTCGCGCCGTGGTCTTGGGCCGATTCTTATGGTTCGGGTGACAAGCGGTGGGCGGAATACAATCCCCTTCCCATTCGAAATTTTAGTTCGCCCCCTCCCTGGCTGGCTACCTGGGCACTTTTTTCTCCAGAAGAACAGATTTGCTTCGGGGCCGGGACGCGGGCCGACCGAGTGTTGATGCGTATCCCTATTGACATGCATGCCAAGTTCAAAACATGTCGATCGAAAGTGGATGCCGAAGACGAAGTTCACCAGTTGTTGCAGCATCTGGCCCTGCTCTCTGGTCACAGACCCAGGGACCGCGAAATGCTCGCCCGGGGCACAGCACTGTTCAACTACATGATCGGGAAGGGCGAGACCTTGACTGAGTTTGCGTTACGACGCGATGCCGAAATAGCCGAGGCCGAAAAATTCATGGCAGCGCCGCCTGCCGAAATTCAGTATTTTATTTTTTGTTTGCGGAAGGGGCCTGCCTGAATCCACGGGAGCGAATCAACCTGATCACGTTGGCAAGCGGCCGAATCTATTATTCATCCGTCAGGTCGGCGATTTCGGTGCTAGACTAGATTCGGAGGAAGCTCACGCCGTCCGTCCCGCAAGCAAAGCGGTGACCTTGCAGACTTTCACAGCGGGCACTGGGCAGGCAGTTGGGCAGCTACCCGCGTCAGCCGGATCCGAGGGGCCAGGTGCGGAAGTCTGCCTCGCTGAGGTGGATGACTCCGTCGAGCTTCCGGAGGGCGGCGCGGGCGCGCTGCTGGCGAGCAGGACCTTGGAGAGACCGAGGTCACGCACATCTTCGCGTCTGTCGAGGAGGACCGCTTTGGACAAGAGAATCGCAGGACGTGGGCCGCCGCGAGGAGGTTGGAAGTCACCGAGAAAGTGGGCCGATGTTTTTTTGACCAGCGGCGAGCAGCGCACCCAGACTTCAAGAGAGTGATGATGTCCGACATCAAGAAGGGAACACTTTGCGCGAACTTTGAGGATCGTGGCCACGGGGCAGACTCGCGCAATCATCCATGTCGGTCAACAGTCAACAGCTGATCGCCTGTCCGGGTGAAGGCCAAGAAGCTAGAGTCCGCGAACCAGAGCTTCTTTTGCGACCTACTTCTTGAGAGCGAGAACAACGCGGTGGAGCTGAGCTTTCAGGACTTGGCGGACATCGGTGCCATCGCGGTGGAGGACTGGAACGGGCTGCTCAAGACGTTCCTGGCAAAGACCTCGCCCGCCCCCTCGACGAGGCAGCTCGGCGACAGCGCGTTCGTGGACACCGCCGCCGGCCAGGCCCTCGCCGGGAGAGAGAACCTGGAGGTGGCGATCGAGTCGCTCCGGCGCGGGGGCTCCAGAATCCCGGTGACAGAGCGCCCCGTTCCGGCCGATGCTGCGAGCGGCGTCGGCGGCGGGGTCGAGCCCGCAGCGCGAGCGCGGGTTCCCGTCGGCATCTGGCGATTCGGGATCGCGGAGTTTCTCGGCCTGCCGCGCGGGCGCCCCCCTCTTCTGCCGACAAGGCCGCTGGAGGCGATGGGCGCCGTGATCGACCTGCTGGGCAACGATGAGGTCGCACTGGCGTGCGCGGCATTGCGCGGGCCATCGCTCGATCTGCCTCATTCACTGCGAGCCCGAAGAGTTGGGCGTGGGCAGCGAGGCGATGCCGCGTCTGCTCGAGGACGTCCGGGGCATTCTTTATTGCAGAGCTTGTGATCAGTCAGCTCTCCTCGTCTTTCGGAGTGGGCGGCGAGTTCGGGCCCCGGGAACCGGCGGGCCAAGTTTCAGGGTCGAGCGCCTTGGCCAATTTCGCCCGAGATAGCAAATTGCGCCCGCGTCGCTGCTCACATCTCCGCCCGAGCCGCGGCGAAAAATATTAGACTTCTGAAGTTCACCATTCCGCGGCCTCGGGGGCGCGCGGCGGGTGATTTCCAGGGGGTTCACGAGGGCGTTGCACTGGGTGACTTGGAAGGAGATGCCAGGCGAGCTTCAGGGCCTGCAGGTCCGGCCATCGTCTTGATCGGGAGGTCCAAGGACCTCCCGATCGAGACGATGACCAAGGACCGGCGCGGGTAGTCCAACGGCGGGATCCTGGTGGCGCCGCTCTGGTCCAGAACGTGGCGACGCGTGGCCTTGCGCCCACTTCGCATCGCTGCGAGCTGTCGTCGTTCCCAGGGGGTCGCTCTTGCGCGGCCACAAGCGGCGGAGTTGAATGTCCTGGACCAGGGCGCCTGCCCGCATCCTCCGTGGCCGGAACAGAAGGGCATGAACGACGCCAGCGTGCGCTCGCATTGCCGGATGCGCCGCGCGAGGCTCTCGCTGCGCGACAAGACGCCCGAGGCGGAGGCAGCGGCGGGGGCCGAGGAGCTGGCTCGCCCAGCGAAGCAAGAGGTCGGCCTTCAGATGAAGTCCGATGTCAAGAGCCTGGTGGGCGCCTGCATTGGGGCGTCGTCGGGCACCTGGCTCGCCCGCCCAGCGCCTCGCGACCCGCCGGCGCCGATTGCGCCGGGGCGAGGTTGAAGCTTTCGTCGAGCGGATCTTCTGGGGCCGCGGGCGCGGGCCAGGCGCTCCGGCTGCTGCTGGAAGGGGGGGGGGGCTCGAGCCAGCGCGGGCCCCGACCGGCCTGCTGGCGCCGCCGACCGCGTAAACGGGCCCTCCGACGTTGCGCCCCCGCGCGTCTCGCGCGGATCCCAAGGCGCCATTTTTCGCAGCTCGGAGTCAGCTTCACTCAGTTCGAATCAACGACCCTCTTGGCCCAGGCGCGCGCCGTAGCCGAGCGGCTGGCGACGGCGCAAGGAGACATGGCAGCAGCCCCGGCATCGATGACAGCTCCGGCGCCCCTCTCGGACGAGGACGCCGCGAGGCTGGCGACGCGTCTCCGGGCGATCGGGGAGGCCCAGCCCGCCCGCGACGAGGGGGGCGCCCCGCGCCGGCGGGCGCCCAGCTGAGCCCCGACAGCTGGCCAGGGCCAGCGCGGAAGAAGGCGATCAGGAGGTCGGGGTCGGGGCCCGAAGGTCAGCGCCTCCGCGGCGCGGCCGTTCAGACTGCCAGTGGTCGGACTGCGCCTGGGGGCCCAGCTGCCCCAGGCGCTGGGCGAGACATCTGGGATCAGATCGAGGGGCCCCTTGTCGATCTGGACGGCGTCGGGGCCGATCTCGGATGGGCAATGGGCGCCCTCGGCCCCTCGGACCGATCGGTTCTGCGCGTGGGTGTGGCGCTCGCCCATGGATGAGGCGGGCCCCCCCGTTGCTCTGCCGCCCAGGGTTCACGGGGCGCGAGTCCGAGAGGCGGAACGCGCGGCGTCCTGGCGCCGCATTTCAGATATGATATTGGGGGGGGCTCGAGCCAGAGAGGCCCGCCGCAGGTTTCAGCAGGCGCCTGCGCCTCGATGGGAACCCGACAAGCCCCCAGGGGGAGGGGCGAGGGAAAAGGAAGGAGACGCGCAGGTGGAGTCACGGCCTCAGATGGCATTTGCTCTGGTCTGGAAGGAGGCGGGGCTGCGGGCTCAGACGGGCCCGGCGGACGCGGCGCTCGGGGTTGACCATCCCTTTGCGCGACGCCCATACCTAGGCGCAGCCTCCCTAAGGTCAATGGCAACGACGAGCCACGATCAAGTCATGGGGGTACTGGTGGAAGTGGACTCCTTCATCTCTCGGGAGCTTTTCTGGGGCTGCGGAGGAGCTAGATGTCCAATCGGCGCCCCGCAAGGTCCGCGAGGCCGCCCTGCAGGGTCTCGCGACCCTGGGGCCCCGCGCGGACATGCCGGCAGAAGAACCCTGAGATCCGACGTCTTGATTTTTTCAAGACGCCTCAAACGTATTGATTATGAACCCATGTTTTGGTTATTTTCAAACGTGTTGATATTTAGCCAGTGTCGTGATTTTTCGGGAGATGTCATGATTTCTGCGCGGGTGTGTTGATTTTTGTTGCATTGTATTGATTTTTGTTGAGAACGCGCGTCGTCATGAGTTCTGATGGTCTCCCTCGAAATTATGTTTGGGTCAAAATTGCTATACTGTGCGATCGTGATATCGACGACGGCAATATAGTAGGCTAGCGGCTAGCATGTGAA